CTTCTCGACATTCGCTGATATAATGCAGAGAGAAAACAATAGGTTTGATGAGGGCCAGTAATTATTATCAATAAAATATTAAAACGGAGCTTTGATTAACTGATTCACCATTTATACTAGTGAACTATTAAACTATCGTGATTTACACAATTTTTGGATATTTACCAGACGATCCCCTATCCACCGACCCGAGATTAACGCCGAGTCGGCGTCTTGTTGTAGGCTATTTCTAGCTTGGTTAACATTTTTAAATCATTAAAATGCTTAATATTATGTTTTATATCCAGTCAGAAAAAAAATAACACTGCCTATGTGCTGATTGCGCAGATCGTATAGTGATATTTTCAAGCTTTTTGCGGCTTAAAATTGGTCGTTAATTTGCTTCGATTGCTCATTAATTCATCATGAGTCACTGAGTCATGAGATCAAATGATCTATGCATTGCATATCCGTATTTTTGTAGATTTTGAACAATTTTTCAAAGGTAGGAGAAATCACTACGCGCTATGCCGTTTGCGGTTTGTGTTTCCACTTAGTCAAAAACTACGGTGTAAAAAAAAATGTTCCGCCGACCCAAAAAAAAATGTTCCGCCGCCCCTGTAGTAAACCATCTTATACCATCAAAAAGTAAAGAAACGCAAATCTATAAAGGGACAATAAATCTCTTGCACATTATTTCAATCAATTTTTTTTATCGGTTGGTGAAAATGCAGCAAGGGCGTCTACTCATCTAGCAGATACTAACAATATCAATCTACGAGAATCAATCGAAACAGTCGTTATACCTGAAAACGATCAATTTAAGTTTAGAGCGGTAACTTGCCACGAAGTATGTCGAGTAGTTTTATCGTTACCTCTCAATAAATCATCTGGTCAAGATAAGATTAATCCACGGATTATAAAAGACTGCACGCCTTCCGGTAACGGAAATTATCAATTGTTCCCTTCGTGCTTCTACTTTTCCTCTGGCATGGAAAAAAGCAGAACTTATTCCTATTCATAAAGAAGGTGATCACGAGGTACCCTCAAATAATCGACCAGTTTCCTTTCTTGGCGTCGAAAGTTTGTGAAAGATTAGCTCTTGAGCAATTTAGCTGTTACCTAACAAGCAACAATAATGTCGACAGAGACATTAAACATTTTTATCACTGACACCATCTTAAAGGTCATGGACAAAAAGAAACTCTCAGCTATAGTGTTGTTGGATCTCTCAAAAGCCATTGACAGCATAAACAATCAGAGACTACTTCATAAACTATCAAATGTCGGAGCATCCAAATCAACAGTAAACTGGTTCAGAAGCTACCTAACAGACCGTTTTCAATAAAGTCGTATTAACTCTACGTTATCAGACCCATTACCGATAAATTGTATGGTGTACCTCAAGGGGCTATTTTATCGCCATCGCCCTTTTGTATATACCTTAACGATGTACCCTGCATGTGCATCTTACAATGGTGATTCAGGCTCGAAATTATGTAACCATCCCTGATCAACATGTGTCAATCATTAAACACGCAAGGAACTCCCTCCTTTTCAATGGTGGTAATATCTATACACAACATTTGACGTCACAATGGGAAGTTACGACGGCGCAGAGGTATGTGAGCTAGTCAGTTTATTTATTCTAAATTCCTTAACTGAGAAATACGGGAAAGATTACGTTGGTCCTTATCGTGATGATGGACTTATTTTATTGAAAGGAACTTCCAAACGTCTAGCTGATAAAGCAAGAAAAGATCTGCACAAGTTGTTTGCAGAGAACTTCCAATTAAAGATAACAGCCGAAATATGCCACCAAACCGTCAACTTCCTTGACTTAAGTTTCAATTTACACGAGCAGAGTTACAAGCCTTATCGGAAACCTAATGATCCTCTTTTTATCAACAGTCATTCGAATCATCCACTATCAATCACAAAACAAATCCCGTTATCAGTGAAAAAAGTATTTCGCAATTATCATCCGACCAAAATGCCTTTTCAGCCGCTGCCCCCATGTATGAAAACGCATTGAACCACAGCAATTATCATGCAAACTTGCAGTATACCCCAAGCAACAACGGTAATGGCAATAAACGAAGCCAACAAAACATAATTTGGTTCAATCCACCGTACAGCAAGAACGTAAGAACAAACGTGGGCAAGATTTTCCTCAATTTAATTGACAAACATTTCCCACCCTCCAGTTGCTTTCATAAGATATTTAATCGTAACTCGGTGAAAGTCAGTTACAGCTGAATGGATAAATGCAAGAGCATAATTTCTAAGCATAGCACCAGAACACTATCAAGCCCAATTATTAATAATAATAATAAGAATGATAATAAGCCCAAAATCGACAACCGAAACAACATCATCAACAAACAGCGCCATGTGCAATTGTAATAATAGCGACGAATGTCCTCTCCAAAAGAAATGCCTATTATACTGCATTGTTTATAAAGCAGAGGTCGTATCCAGCAATTCGGAACCGAAAGAATACATTGGCATGACGGGAATCACCTTCAAGAAACGGTTATATCACCACAATAAATCATACAGGAACAATACAGAGTTCTCAAAATACGTGTAGAACTTAAAGGAAAAGCAGCAGGACTTCACAAATAATTGGTCTATCTTGAAACGAGCAGCCTCGTATTCCAGCGGTGGAAAGAGATGTAACCTTTGCCTCCAAGAGAAACTTTGTATTCTAAAAGCGGATAAGTCAAACTTGCTGAATAAGGGACGCGAGTTGTTCTCGAAGTGCGTTCACCGGAAAGTTTGAACGTGCGCAAGCTCAATCACGCAAGCAGTACAACGGATATCAACGTCACCAAGCAGGGAAAGTTAGTTGAACATACATCGTCGTGTATATATAATATATATATATTATTATTATATATATATTATATATATATATATACTGTATATATACTGTATATATATATATATATATATATATATATATATATATATATATATATATATATATATATATATATATATATATATACATATATATATATATGTATATATATAAAATTTGGTTTTATTGGTTATAAAAACTTTTGGCAAAGTCCTCAATGGAAAACCAGAGCATATTTAAATTAAGGTACAACAAATCAACAAAATCCACTAGGCATCTTTATTACTAAATAGTTTCGTACCACAGTATGTGGCACTCTTCTTAGGTCAACTTATCTGAAGAGTGCCACATACTGTGGTACGAAACTATTTAGTAATAAAGATGCCTAGCGGATTTTGTTGATTTGTTGTACCTTAATTTATATATATATATATATATATATATATATATATATATATATATATATATATATATATATATATATATATATATATATATATACGCGTAAACACATTATTAATTAGAAAGGAATTTCATGCTTGGGGATGTATAACGTGGATAATTAGAACGTAGTTGTAAAGACCTTGAAATGCTAATTAGCAGCGGCTGTTATGCAAATTATAGAGTTGCAGTTTTTTCGAGACACCTTGTCTATATGATTTACTGGCTTACCTGATAATAAAGTTTACTTTTATATTCCTATTTACTGATTTTGCCAAAAATAATTGTAAAATGTTGTAAATTTTGTTTCTGTTTGTTTTGCATAATTATTATGAAAAATGTATTACCTTTGTCAATTTTTTGTTGTCCAATGCTTTTAACTCTTTAAGTTTCTTCCGATATTTTATGGACTTCTTCAACTCCCAGTTGATGATATTAATGATTTCTTCATTACCACATACCAACTGCTTGTCTTTCCGCATATCAACGTTATACTTCAGTAATGTTTGAACTACAGCTGTATGACCTTTCTCGCTTGCTATACTTAAAGGAGAAACCCGATCATCACCATATTTGTTTATGTCTTTGGTCGCTCCATTCTGGAGAAGGTAGTCAACAATTGATTCATTTCCTTTTTCACAAGCCAAAAATAAAATTGTGTCGCTGCCATGAGTGTGAAGATTTATCACTTCAGCTCCATGTTCAACTAAATATTTGACAATTTTCAGTGAATTTGCTGATACAGCATAATGAAGAACTGTCCTACCATCGTCGTGTTTTTCATTCACGTCATCACCAGATTCAACCAACCGTTTTACTTCCTGAAAATTAGCTTCTGTAGCTGCTGTCAGAAGTTGCGACATATTTGTATACCTAAAATAACAAAAATAATTATGTAATGAATTGGAAATTGTTTTTCTTTCTTGTACAGATCATTACTCACGATATTGATATTATGACGCGCGTTGACATTAAAGTGTTTTGCACATAATTTTTAATCACTCTCCATTTCGTTGCTACTCTTCATTCCGTTGAACTGAAGTCATATACAGGTACGAAATTAATGTTTTCAACTGCAGGGACGACGGAACCTGTTTAAAAAGTGTGTGTGTGGGGGGCTTAGCGCACGAAATAGCCTTTTTTTATGAAAGTGCCCTTTTTCGAGATTCTGCCCCCGCTGCCCTGCGTTCCTTCCAGCGCCCACTGATAAAACTTGAACACATTTAACTATAGAACTATATCAATATCTATAATATATGAGCTAAGTATGTTAATTATTTTGTATTCTATGGGCTTTATTCTAACGTAAAATTAAATTCAAAATAAAACTCTTCGTAAAACGTTTTAAATGTTCATTGACATCAACTGCTTTTTGCTGATAAACCCTCAATAATAATAATGTAAAAGCATCTATTTAAACACAACAGTAATATCACAATGACTAATATTATACTTTATAAGTAATAATAATAATAACAGTCCTTATTCATACTCAAGAACACCCGTCTGTGAGTTTACATTATAAAAATATATAAGATAAAATTATTGATATCTATAAGGTAATAACTAGATATATACAGTTATTGATAAAAATATTAATAATGTTAAAAAGGTAAAGGTTAAAATTGGTTAAACAAAGTTAAACAAACATCGATTTACAAAAGAACTTTTAAATCGCTCTGTTCTCACTAATGGAAGTTCAAACTCGTGTCCCCTTGGCCTAAGGTGTCTATTTAATTTATCTGGTAAAAGCTCCTGTAGTGCATTATCTTTATTATGTATTACTTTATCCCAAAGTTTCTTGTCCCTTTTGATGCTTATCTCCTTAATATTCAATTTTTCCGATATGTAGCCATTTCTGTGAGCGCGATTGATGAATTTGTCTATTTGACTAATGTATTTATTGAAGTATGCGCCTCCCCA